TTTGCCTCCTGTATGTCCCTGACTGGGTATTGAACTACACTCCAACTAACTGAGCCACAGGGCTATTGTTTTTTAATCTGGAATTCTTCTTGTTTCCTGAGGTAGTCCTTTATAGCTATGATCTTCCCTCTTAGAACTGCTTTTCCCGCATTGAGAAAAAAGTAAGTTTGTTAATCTGAATTTCAAAGGATATCTCCAAAGGCGTGTGTGAAACATCACACTTAATGGTGAACTCCAAAGGCTTTTCCTTTCTGGCTGGGAGTGACACAGGATTCCCACTGTTGTCATTTGTATTCCACCATGTATTGCAAGGAAATCCAGCAGCACAGTTGGACATACAATAAAAGATGTATAGTTTTCAGTGGAAGCATCAAAGTGGTCATTTGTAGGTTGTTTTTTATAGAAAATCTAAGATGATAAACACATGAATTACTTGAATTCATAATCAGTTTATAAAATTATTTTCCAGAAAAAAAAATAAAAAATACCATTAACAATATTATCAAAATTTAGGAAGTACTTTGTACTATGGCTAGCTAGAGGTGCACAAATCTATTACAGAAATAAGACTTGAGAGGAACTAAAGAACATCTAGATAAATGGTAACATTCATAAATAGGAATGCTATATGATACAAGAAGTCAATTCTTTTCATATTGAGTCATCGCTTTAATACATTGCCTATTAAAATCTCAAAAGGTGGTTTTGTGTATTTGTGTGATGGGGTTTTTTGTTTGTTTTGGAATGTGACAAATTCTTAAAAAATTTTTATATGGCAATATAAAAGTTTAAAAGTAGTTGTGACAATGTCAAAGGATATATTGGGAGGACTTGTTCTACCAGATTTTAAAGCTATAGGAGGTAAGACAATGTGGTATTGGTGCAGGGCTAGAGGAGTAACCAGTGAAAGTTCAGAGAGCTTAGAGACAGACCCAGTGTATAATGGACACTTGGTTCAAGACAGATGGTAGCAGAGCAGTGAGGAAAGGGTACTCTCAATGGTGATAAAATACAATAGAATCTCTATCCCTTGCCATATGTAATAATCATCAAGTGGTGGATTATAGAATTAAATATAAAAGGAAACATTAAAAGGCATTTTAGAAGGTACCTCAGAATATATGATGATTTCAAAGTAGGAAAATATTTTAATAAACCATAAAGCTGCAAAATTAACTACATTAAAATGAAGAATTTCTGTTCAAGTTAGTGAAGCATAAGCAGCTACATGGGAAAAGGTATTTGCCACACACATAACCAACATAGAACTCAGTAATAATAATGAAGAACTGCTAAAAACAGAAAAATGTCAATCAGTTTAAAGTGAGCAAAAGATCTGAACATGCCACGTTTGTAAAAGCGAGACTGTCCATTCAACAAATATGAAAAAGTGGCCACCTCGTTGGTTATTTGAAAAACTTCAGGTTAAAAGAACAAGATACCATTTTATACCCAGTAGATGAGAAAAGTATTAAAAATAAGACAAGTATTGGTGTGGATGTAGAGCAGTGGTGACACAGTGCTGGTGGGAGAGTTATTGCCAAACATGTTGGTAAATAGCTTGGTGTTTTCTAGTGAAGTTGAAGATAAACATACTTGTAGTTTAAGAGTATGTCTCTAGAACTATACCCTAGTCATCAGTGTGTGACTTTGTGCATCAGTAGGACATGTATATTAATGTTCAGGGAAGCACTGTTTATAATAGCTTCAAACTGTAAACAACCCAGTTTGAATTACTCATATAACTATAATTATATGAACTTGCATTCATGCTGGAGGCCTAGTGCATGAAATTCGTGCACTCCGGGGCAGTGGTGGGCTTGTCCCTCAGCCCGGACTGTTCCAGTCCGGGAGCCCTCTTGCAGTCTGTTGTGCTCACAGCTATGAGCCTGGTTTCTGGCTGAATGGCGCTCTCCCTGTGGGAGTGCACCAACCACCAGGGGACAGCTCTTGTGTTGAGCATCTGCTCCCTGGTGGTCATTCTGCCGTTCGGTGGATTTACATATTAGCCTTTTATTATATAGGATAATGGAATTGTATATCACAATGTATACAGAAACATGCAACATGGATAAATTCCATTTATAGGCATGCCTTTGTTTTATTGTGCTGCACTTTATTTCATTTTACAGGTGTTGCATTTTTTTTTTTTTAACAAATTGAAGGTAAGGCCCTCCAATAGCAAAAAATAAAAAAAAAATATATATATGACTTGCTGAAAATGGTTAGCATGTTTAGCAATAAAGTACTTTTTAATTAAGGTATATACATTTTTTTTTTTTTGTAGAGATAGTGCTAATGCATACTTAGTAGACTACAGTATAATGTAAATGTAACTTTTACATGCACTGGAAAATAAAAATATTTGTGTGACTCAGTTTATTGTGATACATGCCTTATTGTAGTGGTCTGGAACTGAACCCACTACATAGAAAAAGGTATTTTATTATATATAATATTTCCCAGGTATGCCTGTATATCCTTCCAAAATTAAAAATGTTTATTCAAACAAGTACATATGCACACATGTTCATAACATCACTATCCACAATAACCAAAAGGTGGAAGTAGTCTAAATGTTCATCATTAATTTATAAACAAATAGTGGTTTATACATACATTGGAATATTTTTCAGTCATAAAAGAATGAAATACTAATACATGTTACAGTCTGTATGAACATCAGAGACATTGAGCTAAGTGAAAAAAGTCAGACATAGAAGGTCACATACTGTATAATTCCATTTATAAGAAGTATTCATAATAGATGAATCCATAATGAGAGACTGGTGGTTGCCGGGGCCTGGGGCTATGAGGTGGTAGGGAGAAATTGCTTATTGGGTTAGGAGTTCTACTTTGGAGTGATAAAACATTTTGGAACTAGATAGACATGATGATTGCACAACATTGTAAATTAACTGAAGGCCACTGGATTATTAACTTTAAAATGGTTAATTTTATGTAATGTGAATTTCACTTCAATAAGTTATTTTTTAAATGTGAATTGATATATAAAATAATTAATTGCAGCATTGCCTGTAAAAGCAAAAACTGTAAATAACCCAAATGTTCATCAGTAGGAACTGGCTGAATAGATTCAAGTATCCATACACTGGAATACTATAAGAAAGAATTAGGAAGTGCTATGTGAAAAGGTCTGTATCTTACTAAATGATACATCTTGCAGACCTTTTCACATTCTGCCGTTTGGTGAATTTACATAGTAGCCTTTTATTATATAGGATAATGAAATTGTTTGTATATCACAATGTATACAGAAACATGCAACATGGATAAATTTAAATATCATTAAATTTATGGGAGGAAAAAGCCAAGACATGGAACAGTTCATATGCTACTACAATATTTATGTTAAACTATGGGGGCAAAGGACCCACAACTGAGTAGTGGAATTGGGTATGGTAATTCTGTTTAACTCTTTTGAGGAATCACTAAACTGTTTTTCATGCCAGTTAAATATTTTAAATTCCCATCAGTAGTGTATGAAGTTCCCAAAATTTCTATAACACTTGTTATTCCTTAGCAACACGTGATTTCCTGGGCTTTTATTTTCATTATAGACACACTAGTCTAGTGGGTGTGATGTGGTACCGCATTGTGGTTTCAATTTGCATTTCCCTAGTGACAGTTGATACTAAGCATATTTCCATGTGCTTTTGGCCATTTGAATATTTTGTTTGGAGAAATGTCTGTTCAAGTCCTTTGCTTATTTTTTAATTGTGCTGTTTTGCCTTTTATTAAGATATGAGTTCTTTATATATTCTTGACATTTAAAAAATATTTTCTCCCATTGTTTAGGTTTTCTTTTTAGATTCTGATGTTTTTGATGCACAAGTTTTTAATTCTGATGAAGTCCAATTGTTGTTATTATTTTGTGTGTGTGTGTGTGTGTGTGGTTTTGGTGTCATAACTAAGACTCAATTGCTTAATTCAAGATAGTGAAGATTTACCTGTTTTCTACTAAGATATGTATGGCTGTAAGCCCTTATACTTAAGTCACGGAATCATTTTGAGTTAATTTTTATTTATGGTGTTAGGTAGGAGTTCAACTTCATTTTTTTGCTTCCTAAGGAGTTGTCCTAGCACTCTTTGTTGATAAGATTATTTTCCCTCATTGAATGGTCCTGGCGCCTCTATCATATTTATAAAAGAAAACATTTAAGTCAAGCAGGTCTTTTGATCAAAAAGTACCACAAAGAAAGTGAAAAGAAGCTCAGCCAGAGAGCAACATATAGAACCCAAAATGATTTGTTAACTTTTTAGAGTGTGTAAAGTGAACTTAAAAATCAGTAAGTAAAAGATATCACAATAAAAAAAAACATTTCCCCAAAGAAGAATTTTGAGTCATAAAGTAGGAAAATAATTAACATTATTCTGTCTGTATACATTTTAAACCATAGGTTTTAGTAGTAAATTATATAGGATTACATAGACTTATTTGGAAAAGTTATAAAGAAAATCAAAGAAATAAAATACAGGATAGCAGTTACTCCTGGAAGTGGATAGAAAAGTATGATTAAGGAGGCACATTGAATTAGTGCAGATACAGGTTTAGCTGCATTTGACAAAACCCCAAATAGTGACATAACCAAGATACGAGTTTCTTTCTTTGTCTTGCAACAGACGGAAAACGTTTTCTGCCTGTCGGCTGTTTGAGCATTCCTCTCTCCACCTGGTTGGTGGCTGCCACCACAGCTCCGTCACAGGTCGCCAGGGGAGGGAAGATCACTTCCTGGCCTGCACATGTGACTTCTCTCCATGGCCTTCTGGCTAGAATTTAGTCATTTTTAGAAGAAGAAAGCTTAGCAGATGTGCCCAGCAAAAAACTTAGAAGTTTTGAACAGGGTGACGGCATTTACCAGGAGGAAAGTAGCAGTCTCTTTTACAGGCTTAGTTGGGTGGTATAAAAGGCAAAAGGCATCAAAGTTATTGATACTGTTCTATTTCTTAAAGTAGGATGGTGAGTATAGGTATTTTTAAAAAGTTATTTAATGCCTTTCCTATTTTCTTTTGCATATATGAAATGTTTGTTAATGTTAAAAAATGTAGTGGATATTTTTCAGGATTTTACTTGAATTTTATGCAGCATATGGTATTGTTCACATCCTCTAGACATTTGCATTTTTATTGGCGAGAATCTCCTGGTTTTTCTCTTATTTCTCCATCTATTCCTTTTCAGCCTCCTGGGCTTCCCTTTCTCTGCAGGGGGACAAAAAGGCCTTTTCCTAGATGCCCCTCACTTGTCTCCATAATTATTTAGGATAGTTTCAAATTGGCTAATGGGTTTCCTGGATTTGGAAAAATTTCAAGAGAAAACTAATTATATGGTAAATATTCAGATTTTATTAATTTTTATTTATAATGCTCTAGCCATATATGGAAAAAGGGAGATTAGCACATTTTTTCTTTGTAATTTCAAATAAATGTTCCTTATACCTTTCTGAACTACATGGTAAAAGAGCAAATAATTTTAATCAAAAGTACAAATGCATCTTGTTATGCTAGATATAGCAACTGTTCCCATAAGTTTATACATGTTATATAATTAGAATAAATTTGGAAATGACTCACATTCTTATAATCACGTATCTATCCACATGTATCCAATGTGCTAGACCACTCAGCAAAATGATTGCATTTCCTAGCTTTCCTTGCAGGTAGGGGTGACTATCTGATCTAAGTCATGGCCAAATGGAATGTAAACAGAAGTCATTATGTAATACATTTTAGCATATATTAACAGGAACTGACTTTCTCCAATGAAATAGTCTCAGACATACACACATTTGAAGTTTTATTCATTTCAAATATTTTTTAATCAAATAGGATAAAATTCAGTTGTGTCAACATTCAAGTTTCAACCATAGGTCAGGGATGGTGTCAATTCTGCGAATACAAAACTAAACATTATAGTCGCAACTTTCAAGGAGCTGATGGTCCAGAGGAAATCTAGCTGATTGCTGTGGTAGGATAGATAAGCCCAGTTGCTATGGGAACACAGAGAAAATGTCATTGGGCCAGGAAGTTCAAACTCAAGAGTCAACAAACCTAATAAAAAATGATTCAAAATGGCTAAGGGACTCAGTTATTATAAGCATTTAAATATCAGTTACTTGAAAAAAAATGAATTCTAATGTTATTGTCAAAGATATAGTTACTAGTAAGAGTGAGGAAAGGAACACAAGTGACCTTTATTAATTTTTAAAATATTTTCTCTATTTTATAGATTTTCCCCATTTGTTATAAATTTTATAACCATAAAATTAATTTTAAAATTTAGAGTGGGGCAAAAGTATTTTACAGTTGTTCATATGGAAAATACAACAATAAATAGTAATACAAGAATAAACTGTTTTGTATACTCAAAACTATAAACCTATTTTTGCCCCATCTTGTACTTTTTCATGTAGCAACATAATTTTTTTGATTTAGTAACATGATTTTCTTGAGACTCCTGGACTCAACTCTTTATCTGAAGAAGCTCAAATTCTTGTAACATATTGCATGTTTCCCATGTAGCTTTTTAAATGTTTTATTTTAAAATAAATTTTACTTACACATGTAAAATACTCATAGTACTTCATTGTTGCTCCAGTGAAGGTAGATATTGTCTGTCACTAGAATTTAAGGCAGAGACTCCAGTCTCACTCATTAGTTGTAAGAGGTTGCAAGGAGGAAGCATATCCTCAGTTCTTAATCCTAATCCAGTCCTTGCTCACCATCAGAGTTCTTCCTGGAAACGGACAGTAACCATTTTCTTTTCACCCAAAGTTTCTCAAACTCATTTCTGAGATTTTATAAGATGAAAGACCCATTTTTCCTAGACAATGCTCTTCATTTTGAAAAACTGAAAACGGACTAGTCAAATCCCATCATATTCATGGCCTTACATAACTCCTCCCACTCTAGGTCTCTTCCCCCAATAGAGTCAATAAAAAGGGAAAAAAACCACACACAGTTCTTTCTCTATGGTGACTCAAGCCAGGACTTCTTCCTCTGATATTGTATTATAACTATTATGTTCTCTTTGGTTCAGTTTTCAAGAAAAAAAATGAGGTCTTTAAATTATTTTTTCCCCTTGCAGACTTTGCCTTCAAAAGAAACAACATTTTTAAATACTGTGCAAATGCCTTGCCTGCAGTCAGCTTCAACTTGGAGTAGCTGTGAACACAATTCAGAGTCTCAAATATTAAGCGAACATGTATCGGAGTTAGACGACTCTTTCCATCCTGTTCTGTCACTGCCATCTGGTAAGCCTCTTTACAACAAAATTTCTAAAGAATATTTTCTATGGTGAAATCTAATCCTGTAAATAAAATGAATCTATAAAAGGAATCAATAGGGTTTAATCTTTGTAAAAGATTCATTTTGTGATTCATAATAATAGTAAAACAAGTAATGCAAAAGTTGACTTTTTCATAAAAGACTGCAGCTGATTCATAGTGGTTTTTCCTTCAAGCAATGAAATGCAAAGGTTGTGGGAGTGGAATGGAGGGATCTTAAAAAGAATCAGTCAGGTTTGGCTGTATGTTTATTAAAGACTTCCAGGTACATTTGTTTTCATGTGAATATTTATGTCCTATTTTAGTTGTTCATCATTAGCATTTGCTTATTCAAGACATACAGCCAGTAATTCCAAAATACTATTAATTTTTTTGAAGCGTATTCTGCTACTTCTGTAAGTTGTGGCTTTTTAAACCTTTGCTTATTTTTCTAAAGCTTTGTGTTGTTTATAGGAAGAAAGCAATGTTACTGAACCTGTATGAGTGATGTTCACTAAAATGTTTTTTTTTAAACTTTATTTTTCCAGATGTGCCTCTTCATTTTCACTTTGAAACATTGTTGAAAACAACTGAAGTAAAAGGAGATCCTGCTGAAAATAAATTTGTAGGAGACTGTATCATATCTCCATCCCCTGGTATGTTACTTACAAATCTTGTACTTTCTATATATCTTTTATATACTTACTTTTGCTTTAGAAGGAAATAAAATTTAACAAAGGAATAAATGTAAATTCTTAATTTTTAATATCTACTTTTCACAAGTAAGACACACACATACACATAAGAAAATACACTGGAGTAACCCTAACAAGAAATGTGGTACTTATTGAAAGAAAATTATGAAATATTATTAATAAATATTGAAGGGAATTTAAATAAATGTGGATAAATAGCATTCCTGGATAGTAAGATTAATAAGGATATCATATTAGTTCTCCCTGTTAGTTTAAATGTAACTTGGAGTTCTAATACAAATTGTTTAACTTAACCAAATAACTGTGAAGCCCATTGGGAAGAATAAATGAGGATATAGAAAAGGAATTGCTGGAAAAGTGTTGAGAAAAGCTAGCACAACCGTATATGGAAATATGACAGAAACTTACAATAGTTTAGTAGATTCTGTTTGTCTTACATTTAAGGAAGCCAACTAACAGCTCATACTTTATTATATAAGAAAAGAGAACATGGAGCCTCTTCATTGAAGAGGATTGTTAGTCTTTTGGGGAAAACTGCACAGACATTTCACACCATATATCAGAATAAATTCTAGCTGTTTCAAGAATTTTAAATAACTAAAATTATAAAACTTAAAAAATTAGAATGAAATGTTTTGAGTACTCTGACTAAAGGTGGAAACATTATGCTCGGAAGGAATCAGAAAAAACACGTTTTCACTATCTGCAAAGCTAAAATCACAATGTCAGAAAGTCATATAAAATGTTTTACTTCTAAAAGAAATTATTTCCAGAGTAAAGAGTCATCTACTTCAAAAGCTCAAGAACCGACTGAATGCCTGTTGGAATTGAAGTTTGAAGGTAGTAGATTTTAAAATAAATTTCTATCGATAAAACCTGGTAGCTTTTACAAGTACCCGTAATAAGAGTCAGACTATGTAAAGGAATTTTAACCTAGACACACTGGCAATGAAAATATAACATATCTAGGATTAAACTTAACAAGGACTTCCTAAGGAAAACATCAATTTACTGAGGAACATGAGTATGTGCCTATTATGAAGAGAAATATCCCATTCCTATCAATACTGTTTTAAATAACTTAAGATGTCATTTTCCCTAAAATTAATTTATATGTAGTTCTAAACAGAATTACAGAGGTGGTATTCTTTTGAAAGTTTTTTTGAAGTTTATCTGAGAGTGAATACTGAATAGCCAGTAAAAATTTTAGAAAATAAGGTATTAGATAACAAAATGTATTATAATCAGAACAAGGAATTTATATAAGGGGCTTAGAGACAGCCCAAAGGGTTTATTATACAACTATAGGCCCGGTGCATAAATTCATGCACGGGCGGGAGGGAGGTAAGGGGGGGGATTTCTCAGCCCAGTCTGTGCCCTCTCAGTCTGGGACCCCACAGCTTTGGCCTGATCCTTCCCTTCAGAGATGGGCTTAAGCCAGCAGTCAGGCATCCTCTCAGTCTGGGACCACTCACTCCTTACCACTGCTGCTAGCTCACCAGCCATGAGCCTGGCTTCTAGCTGAGCAGTGCTCCCTCTGTGGTAGTGCACTGACCACCAGGGAGCAGCTCCTGCATTGCACATCTGCTCCCTACTGGTCAGCGCTCACCATGGCAACGGGTTGTTCCACCAGCTGTTGCGCCTTTCAGTTGATTTGCATATATGGGTTTTATTATATAGGATATGATGGTATTTCCTATCAGTGTGGACAGGATGGCCTAGTCAATAAGCAATGATAAGCAATTCTTAGGATTTCTTATATGCTAGTACTGGTTGGAGGGCTTTATATTTGTTAGCTTTAATCTGTACAACCCTGTAAAGGAAGCATTATTTTTCTCCACGACTAACTTTCCCCAGATCACACGTGAGTAGTGGTAAAGCCAGGATTCAAATCCAAGCAGTCTGGCTCAGAGCACATGCTTTAACCAACTCAGTTTCTTCTGTAATTAGTGGCATTGAATGATGACTTTTGGGAAAAGATAAAATGAAATCTCTGCCTTACACAGCACATTAAAACAAATTTAAGATGGATAAACATTAAAAAACTGTCTTATGAGTTAGAAACACTAAGTGTATTCAGTGACTGCTTATGTGCCAGACAACTCCGTACTGTTTGCCATAGTGGCTGCACCAGTCTGCATCCCCACTTGCAATGTATTATACTAGGCTTCTCTTCTCCACATCCTTGTTAACATTTGTTTGTTGATAATAGCCATTCTGACAGGTGTGAGGTGATTTTTTTAATTTGCATCTCTCAGATGATTAGTGATTGCATTTTTAGAGTGCTGTGCCATCTTGAAGAACCCATTACTGTTGATAGGCCATGCTTTTTTTTTCAATGTTGATGAGACTTTGGTGCTTTAACCTACATACTGCTTTTCCCATTTATTTACACATTTCCAAATCCTTCAAGAAAAGCAGCAAACTGGATCAATCTAGCACTGGAAATATGACAATCATCATGAAGTAAACATTTACTCAATATGTATCATATCAGATATTCCTCTAATGCCTATTATCTCTATTTGACAGATAAAGCAGCTAAGGCACAGAGATACTGACAAAGATTTAGAGAATGCATTTTTTTAAATAGTGAAAAGAATGATGGTAGCACTGAAAGGTTGATGAAATCTGTTCATGTTTTTAAGAGGTTCCAGGCTATTGTGATTCTGTAAAATCTTACTTAGTCCTGAATTATTTCCAGATGTATGGGTAAGCAGAAACTTAAAAATAACTTTTATATTTAACCAATATTTACAGAATCCTTTCAATAACATTTTGTACTTTAGAAGACTTTGAGAACAGATCACTTTCATTTTTATCCTCTTCAAATAATGGAACAACTATTGGATAATTCCTGAGGATGTATTTCTTATTTTCAGTTTATGAGTATTATATCTTGGTATCT